ATGGCAATGGTGACATTGTTATCCTCTCAACTTGTTAGCTGTGAAACTGTGCGCTCTCTGTGTGGAAGACCCAGCTCCAGTTTTGTTTTCTCTGCTAAGGGTGTTATGAACCTGGCTCTTGTCATTTTCCCTCTTCACTTTCTGTCTTAGTGCATGGTTCGAATTGTTCCAGGCAGAACTGAATTGCTTCAGAAGAAATTCCTAGTGAAGACTCATTTGTGATGGAGGCTGTGTACCTTTGTGCAGCTAAGGTCACCATTTCTGCTGCTTTCATCGTACTGAAACATTTATGTATTCGTTCTGAGAGAATATGAAAGGAAAAAGGAGCTGCCAGAGGGGACAGTGCCTAGCTTTATTCTCTCATAGATCATGTTTAACTCTTTATTCAAAAGAAACTGACACTTCTAGGCATGAGTTATTTGACCTGTTAAGTAATTGACCCTAGGGTGAAACAAATCATATTCTAGCACTGCCCACTTTTCTCCAATTGCCAGTACCTGTGATGGAGTTTGGATCTCATCCTCTACTCACCTGTACTGTGAGCATGTCCATAACCAAAGAATATTTGTCTGATGTTCAAGGACATTTTTCTTTCCCCTGATAAAACTGTTTCCAAACACCAGAACATAAAACTAGTGTACATCTGAGATCATACATTCTACTTCCTTGCTACAGGCAGCTGCCTCATATGGTCTTAACGAGACACCTGTCAAGGGCTCTCTTGAAAGTATTCTGAGTAATGGCTTGTAGCTCTGGAATTCCAGTTGTTACCTGTTCTGATAAATTTATTTTTTGCTGAAGGAAAGAAAGGACTTGGCTCATACTGTTGTGTTGCCACATGGTCAATTCCTCAGAGCTACTTACATGGTTATTATTATTCAAGATTGGAAAAAGGTGAAAGGGTGGGGAGAAATAATCTTCATAATAAGAAACAAAATAGGTTCAAGTCCTGGGATGAAATCAACTACATTTCTGAAATTAGTGGAGAGTTACTGTCTCATTGCAATTGACCCGTGACAAACATGAAACGTCTTTAGAAGGTAAAATAACTACATTATCAGATCATTCAAACATCCTTTGAGCTTGAGGTTTGAAAGGTTGGTCTCCTGGTACAAAAACTGTGCTGTGGCAAGTTTGCACATAATCGTATTTTATATTTCTTGGGGAATAATAATAATAGTGTTCTCCAGAAAAATTAGTAAGTGTTTTAGCTGGGCAAAATCAGTATGATCCCTTAGCTATTGTGCAGTAAAAAACTAAGCAGGAGCTAAGAGTTTTGGAAGCATATTAGTCCAAGTTAAGTACACAGTGGCTCCAAAAATCCATAACCCATCTGCATCTTCCAACTTCCTTCTTCATACTGCCACTCTTGTTTGTGTAACCATCTGTTGAGTTGGATCAAGGGCTAATATGCCTGGAAATTAATTCCTTTCTAGTTCAAAACGCAAATGGATGAAAGCTAAAAGCTTCCAGGTGGAAAGGTGGAACAGCTCATTCTGGCAATAGAGAGCACTGAAGTTGGCCTGTAATCAGTATGGGACATTGCCAGAGGAAAGCTGCTACACCTGGGATAAAAGGACCTTAGTAAATGTCTAAGACTGAATTGTCCGAAACTTACCTGAGCAAGTGGAGAATTATGTCTGCAGGGAGAACTTCTGGAGACTGCCTATTCTGTTTCTGTATAATATCAGATTATTTCTCCAGAAGCATTTAAATTTAAGCATCTATTTTATTTCATCTCCCATAACTATGAGAGCACGGGGAAAAGAATGTAGAGCTATGTCATGCTTCCACACAAAAATATTTCACGGTGGAAGCAAAAATATTGAGTCAGTTGGGGTCTTTATTATACCTGCTGACAATCAGAAGGGAGAATTTACAGCTTTTGTCACCAAGAACATTTTCAGCTAATATCTCTGGATCCCCAAACCTGAGTTTCTTCTTTTCTGAAATTCTGACAACGCTGTCAGAAACTCTGGTTACTCTGAAACTGTCATCTCATTTCACTAACATGCGCCAGGTAGTCAACTGCAGGCCTTTTTATTTCATTAGAAGATTGAACTGCTCTAAAGTCCTTGATTTCTACTATACACATACTGTGTGCATAAAGGGTTTATGCACTGCTGTTGTTAATGCTGCACAAACACTGACAGTGCTTTCCCCAAATATGCTATATGAGGTAGATGATTTTGCTCAGACTGTACCTGCAGCCTTCAATGCTCTTTGTTCCACAGTGCTTTTCTTTGCAGAGAGAGACTTCCTCAGTAGTAGAAAATAATACATTTATTATCTTGCAGATATTGGAAAAAATACCTTGCTAATATGATTCTAGTGGGACGAGCATGTGCTTACCTTACTGCTGTTGGCTTTTTGTTATAATAAAATAAATATCCTTTTAGCACTTAGTTAGCTTTTAGGAATAATTCCATTGAAAAATAAGGTAAATTTGTACTCTGCTAACTCGAGAGGAATTGCTTGCAGTGACGAAACCAAGTGTATCCTGTACATAGCCTTTCTGTTCTGTGCAAAGAGAAGCAGTTAGAACAGTGATGTGTAGAATGCATGTAATTGGATTTTTTCAAATAATTAATAAGTTTGTTCATGAATTTGTGATGAATTTCACTTTCTGGAAAAGAACAAACAATGGCATGTTGTATAAATTGTTTGTTATAGTTTTTCTCTGCTCTGCCTAGGAAAAAAACAGTATCTATAAACATATAGGATTTGCAGAACTTCTCACTGTCTCTGAATACCAATTTCATTTTAAAAGCTTCCGTGTTTTTGTCTCCTTATTTCATAAAAATTAAATCCTTTAACCAGACGCTGCAAGCAATGTCGTATTACAAAGGGGGAAGGGGAGGTCTCAAAATAAGAATGAGAAAAAATTCAGGTACTGTTTAGAACTTAAACCACTGAAACGTTGCTGTTACTTGTTACTTTTCTGAATTGCAGTATTTTCTTTAGGAAATAACAGAAAATCGTAAGTAATACATTGTTGTGTAAGCTCTGTCTATAGAAGAGATGGAAACCCTGTTACTCAGTATTTTCTACTTTCACTAAATTACTGCACTACCTGACTCTATGACTGATGACACAGATCAGGGAAGAAAAAATTATAACACATGGATCTTGCCAGAGACTCGGTGCCTATTTGAGTATTTGTCAACAAGTCTACAGAAAAGAGAATATCCAACATACAATAAATCCCTCAGCTTACGTATGTCAACATTGGTTTATTTGTTGGGTGCATAAAGCCTTTTCTGAAGGAATATAAAATGATTTAAAGGTTTCTACATGAGGCAGTTTTAAATAGTGCACTGATAGGTTAAAAACTAAAATAAGCTAGAAATCCATGTTGATATCTTGAAATCTTGCAAAATTTTGCCATTCACTTTCCTACGAACTCACGCACACTAAGTTTTATGGTCTTTATGAAAAACCTTTCATGTAGGTTGCTTTCAAGCATTGCAATGGAAATCATAGCTGTGGAAATAAAAGCAGATGTAGGACGTGGTGGTGACTTAAAAATTAATTCTCTTGAGCTTTACTTTGAGTCAAAGTGTTGTTCGCTAGTTTAGACAGTCTTGTTGCAGAGCCAGTATAGGCTGTTCATTCCTTCCTTGTACTTTCAAACCCTTTTGTGGTGGTGTATCTCCAGTTAATAAGATACTGGGTGATAGTATCTGTAAGCAACTTTATACTATTTGTAGAATGTCTGGTCCATCAGACATCTCCTAGGGGGTTGAATTTTTGTGTTAGGTTTTTTGTTGTTTTTTTCTCCCCCTCCCGTTCTTTCTGCAGATCTGCCTTGAATTTTCCCTTTATTCCTCCAACTGTTTGGATAACTGCTGCGTGCAGTACAGTGTCTTTTTTTTTTTTTTTTTTTACATTCTCTAAAGATGAATGGATTACAGATGCCTTCCTCTTCTTTTATATTTAATGGTTGCGATTAGCACCTTTATCACAGCATGTTAAGCACCATCCTGTTGTGTGTGTAGCTCAAAGATAACGGCTATTTATTGTAAATATAATTGCATGGGTTTCAGTTCTGGCTAGATCCCTAACTGCTTCAAATTCGCTTCTATTAATAAGTTTTAAATGAAAGGAAACTAAAGTGATGGAGGCCCAGCCTTCTGTCCTTTCTAGCATGCGGTGTATGTGT